CAGCGAGTCGGTGCCGTTGAGATCGTGTGGCAGTTGTCAGTCAACTCGGAGCCAAGCTCGCGAGTACGGAAGTGTCAGGGCAGTTACTCTTGACAGCGGCAGTTGTTCTTGTTGGCAGCAGTTGATCTTTTCAGATGGCTCGCATGAAGAATGTCGGGGGTGGTCCAGGAGATGATGATCGGAGGCCTCCGCCTCGCCTACCTGTAGATCCAAAAGGCAAGGCGACAAAGACAGTTGTAGCCAAGAAGAGGAAGGTACCGAATCAGAGAGACAGCTCATGCAAAGGCGATTCTTGCAGAGGCCATGAGCGTCTTAGAGAGGAGGTGCTTTCGCGATGGGGTTGTGATTGCAGATCAGCAGCTTACACACCAAGACAGAGGGCAGCGATTGAGGAGGTGAGCATTTTCATGGCGATCCACCGTACTATGACAATGGCGAGATGGCGTCTTCCCGTTGTGGATCCTCACCCTCGAAGTCTGGCAACAGAGTCACAAAGAAGCAGCCCCACCAGCAGAGCCTCAGCCAGCTCAGGAGACTCAGGAGGGCCAGCAGGTCAAGGAGGCCGAGGAGACCGAGCAGGCACCACAGCCACAGCTTCGCCGCTCGGGTCGTACACGAGTTCTAGTCTCACCGAGGCCACCTACGCAGCGGAGAGGTTCGCGTCCACCGCCCAAATGACAGGGTCCTCCCCCAGTGACCCATCTTGACTTAAGGGCCACCACTCACCCTGGGCATTCGGTCAGACCAAACCGATCGGTTCGGTTCCTCGGTCATTCGGTCAATTCGGTCATCAGAAACCTGGGACCGATCGGTCTTTGCAAAAAACGAAGACCGAGGAAGCTCGGTCTCGATTAGTTCGGTTCGGTCTCGGTCACGACCGAACTAACTGGACCTGAGTAGCAGCCACAAACAATAGCGAATCTATAGCAATTTTCAACAAAGATGCTTGCTATTTGAAGGCAAAAAATAACAACACAATATATAAAACAAACCACACATTATTATGACAAGTTCTAGCACACAACTTTCTCGGTTCTTACAAATCACAATCACACATAATGACATTCTGAACGAAGTCTATAGAACTACTGGTCGGTTCGGTCACTTCGGTTAACCGACACATATGACCAAACTTCTATCGGTTACTTGGTTAGTTAGGAGCGGGATCGAACTCATGACCGAACTTTTCGGTCTCGGTCTTTCGGTCTCGGTCTCGGTCTTTTCGGTTCGGTCTTGGTCTTGATTAAATGCCCAGAGTTAGCCACCACGGCCAAATAGGTGCAAAGCAGACTTCGCCCGTGGAGTTTGATGTGTGTTTTCTCCTCAGGAGGGATGAGAGAGCAACAGAGGGTTTCTACACGCCTTTGCGGGAGGATTTCTACAATGCTTATCTCAACAGTGGGGCAGTGTTCAAATCTCAGCGGGTTTGCGGTATAGAGTCTATTGTGGCAGCAGTTGGAGAGCATATCCGCCCTAACTTATCATATTTGCTTGGGTGATCCGATCTGATTGGCCCGACTAAATCATTGCTGACCCGCCAACCAGCCCTTAGGTTTTGGTGTTTTACGCCAAAGGAGAGAGGTTCGAGTATGTAGACTCGGGGGAGCGACATTTAGGGGAGCTAGTTAGCTATTAGTCTTTTATATACATTTGGAGTCTTATTTATGTGATACACTATTACTATTATGCATTCGTGTGTTTACTTTCATGCATACTATTATATCTATGTGATAGTGATATCTACGTGATTGTGATATATGACATGTGTGCTCTCTACTTTGAATTCTTTAATATGTCATATCACTTGAGCTAGGCTCATTTGCCTTTGCTTCCGCGTTTTTACTCCGATGCAAATGAGTCTTTCTTATTGTACTCATGCTTATTTCATATCATTTGAGTACATCATGATGGCTTGGGTTATATAAGCTTGACTAACTCTTTTGTTCTTATTGCTAAAAGCTTATATGATCCAAGCATGTTAAAAACCTCAACTCTTTCATATACTCGAGGTTGTATTGTCATCAATCACCAAAAAGGGAGAGATTGAAAACATCTAGGCCCCTAATTGGGTTTCGATGATTAATGACAATATAAGATTACTGTGACTAACGTGTGTTTTGCAGAGGCAATTAAGTTAGGTCACAATAATGGAGATCGATTGGGCAATCAAGGTTGTCATGCCCCTACGATGGAAATCGTTTCGGTTTTCAAAGGATGGACGACAAGGTTAAGGATGACTAATTCTAAGTGCCGTTTGGAGTTGAAGAGACACTTAGAGTAGTTTAGGACTTTGTTTTTCCTTTGACCGTACTATTAAGGGGGTATGGACGGGTAGCTTGACCTAGGTGAGTCTAGTGAGTTAGGTGTGGTGCACACTTGTTAAAACTAGCACTAGGTAGCTCCTAAATATGACTAAGATCCTTTGGAGCAAACTTCATTCATATATGATTGAGAGTTGGAAGTGAATGGAGGGTCAAAGACTGACCAGACGCTGGCTTCGGTACGACCGGACGCTGGCTGCAGGGTCCGGTCAGTTCATTTGACTGAGGTGAACTAGTCCGGTTTGACCGGACGCTGGAGAGGTCAAGTGACCGGACGCTGAGGGCCAGCGTCCGGTCGACTCCAGTAAGGTTCCAGAGAAGAGAATCTGCGACCGGACGTGTCCGGTCAGTGCTGATCGGACCCTGGGGGTTCAGCGTCCGGTCGACTCCAGTAAGGTTCCAGTTAGGGTTATTTGCGACCGGACGCGTCCGGTCAGTGGTGACCGGACCCTGCCTGCGTCCGGTCAACACTTAAACACTGGTGTGCGGGTTGAACTGACCGGAGCGTCCGGTTACCCCGCAGAGGCACATAACGGTTCGTTTTTCAGCCCATATTATAAATAGAAGTTCCACTCGTGTGTGGAGTCACTTTTGCTCATTTCAACAGCTGAAACACGCCTTAGAGAGTGCCAAGAAGAGTAAGGTCCTAGTGAGGTGATTGGGATTTGAGAATCCAAAGAGAGCCCTCATTAGTGAAGATCAAGAGTAGCAAAGTGTGCATCCACCCTTCTCCCTAGGCTTGTTGTGGTCAAGTGAGAGTTCGTGCTTGTTACTCTTGGTGATCGTCATCACCTAGACGACTTGGTGGTGACTGGGAGCTTGGTGATCATCCGGAGAGCTTGTGGATGACCCAACTCAAGTTGTAAGCGGTTGTGGGTGATTCTCCGTGACGGAGTGTCAAAGAATCAACCCGTAGAGAGCACTTGATCCTTGCGCGGATCAAGGAGGAGCTACACCCTTGCGTGGGTGCTCCAACGAGGACTAGTGGGGAGTGACGACTCTCCGATAACTCGACAAAACATCGCCGCGTTTCCTATCCTCTCTTTACTTTGACCATTTCAATTCTTGTCATTTACATTCCTAGAATTGTATACATTTTTCTTCAAAGCGTAACCTCGTGTTTTCTATCAGTGTTCTTTCTAGTTCCACGATCTTTTGCAGCCTGAGTTGTCTTGATGTTAAGCCAAAACGCAACTTTGTCCTTTCGGGATGCTAGCCAAGAAGGTGAAAAAAAAGGCTGATGAAGTGGAAAAGGCAAAGTCTTGTCAACTTGAATTTGGGAGTTATTGTCTCGGTCCATTGAGCACAAAGAAATAATGAAAGATCATATAGTGAAAAGGCTAAAAGATCAACTCTTCAGTAGCACGCTCATACTATCCAAGCATTGCAAAACTTCAAGGACGAGAAGCTCGACTCGGAAATGAAGCAAAACATACAAGACCATGAAAGGATTCTTAGTGTATCAACAGTTGATGCTGATCTACCATCCTGTAAGAATTAAATTTTACTTCTTAAGATCATAGTTCCGTGTGATGATTAGTGTTAAAGCTGATTGTGCGATGACTATGTTACTATAAGAACAAATTTTATTACATTGAATTGGGTGTCCTATAAGTTAAGATGATCTATTTTTTTTCTCGAATGCCCGTTAGGGAATATATTTATGTCTTAAAGAGACAAGGAGATTTAATTCAATCTAGGGGCGTTATTTCCAATCATCGGTAGGGCTTAATACTTAGATAATTTGAATGACAAGTTGTTTTGTGATTTCAGTATCAACGAAGGATGAAGCGGATGGAGCGAACATTAGTGAGAGCCAAATCTTACACGATGAGATTGTAAGAATGTTGACAGGAAGCTTCATGAGATACTTGATATGACCGAGGATGAAGCTCATTTTCATATGAAGCGAGTGCATTCCTCTACAATCTCGGTGCCCGACATTGCCGAAAAGTCATCATTGCCTATCTATGAGGTTGACACTAGAATATTTCAAATCATCTTCATTGGATTCTGATGATTCTCCTGGCAAGTTCAATGAGTCCGAATACAGGCACTATGTTATACTATCTAGGAACGTTATTGCGGCTTCAGTAGTGATCAACTCAATCTGTGACCAGTTGTAAGGTATTTGGCTGATATTTACAATGTTAAATCTATACACTATCTTCTTCGAAATGTGCATCCCCAAAGATACTCACTTTGTCTTTTTTGCGGGAGCCGAGCTACCTTGCTTTTCATATCCTAACTGATGCTCGAACTTCTATGCCATGAAACACTTGGTTTGCCGAGAATTCATATAAAAATGCAGCTATCCATGTCCTAAACTACGAGGCCATTATTTTGGAGAGACTTCCAAAGTATACTATCTGGCAAATTGTATTTGCGGAGGAGTTCCGTGTTCTCATTAGGAGCATTAAGCGACCCTCTTGAAAACACAAGAATGAAATACATGTCACTTTTCACCCACTCACATTTCATTATTCCGAAATATTCAAGTATCTAAACAAGGTGGTTGTGTTGGATGACGATGTAGTTGTTCAACGTGATCTGTCTTTCTTGTGGAATATTGATATGGGAGACAAGGTAAATAAATATTTGTCGTCGAATTTTGTGGTGCAAACTGGGTGAAATGAAAAATGTCTTGGGTAAAACAACATATGATCCCAAGTCGTGTGCATGGATGTCGGGGTGAATTTGATTAATTTGGATAAATGGAGGGAGCATAATGTTACCGAGAACTATCTGTTGCTCATGAAAAAGGTTAGTATTGTTCCGAGCCGATAAATTCATGCTATAGAATGTTATAAAAGGGGATGCTTGCATTAGGTGGTATGCCTTTCTATTTTGGCATGTTTTACAGGCTTGAAAGAAATTTTCAGTGCCATCAAATAGTTTGCTTTCTTTCATTTTTCGTTGAATTTTCTCCAATAGAACTTTGAAAAGCGATAGTATGTTTTAGTGTATTTCAGATGTTTCTTCATATTGTCAGCTAGTTATTTATCTCATTATTCTTGTTTTGTTACAGTTCAAAGTCAAGGATGAGCTGTCCTATGACGGCAAAGACATTTCCTCTAAGCTTGCTATCCTTGCAACATCTAATATATCCCCTAGATGAAAAATTGACCCTTCTTTGGACTTGGATATGATTATGGAATTGATGAAGAGGTTGCGCGAGATCTGCATCATTGCACTACAATGGCAACATGAAACCTTGGCTTGAATTAGGTATACCGGACTACAAGAAATCTTGGAAGAGGTTTCTTGTCCGAGGAGATCGATTTATGGACGAGTGCAACGTAAATCCGTGATGCGGTTGGACCCAAATCGAACAATTAAATAAATCTGTGGACGCAGATTGGACCTGAAATCGAACAATTGGAATAGATGGCTACATCAGCTAGCCTTCTTGAAGTCAAATTGTGGAAGAGAACGAATTCTAGTGGTGGAGCCAGGATTTTTTTTGAGTTGGATATTCCCAACATGGAAGTAGTAAATACAAAAGTATATACGGTGGTATAAATTTGAGTAAATCTTTGGAGACTATGTGATCCATCGACCACCCTCTAGTGCCGCTTCGCTCTTTCTAACAAATATTTCAAATCAGTCGACTTCATCTTACAAAACCTTCATGACATACAGATAAATATACATGCCACAAAACAATATAACAATGTCAATAATTGCGCTATAAAATTTGGATTTGGGATATAGAGAAGTGAATTATTGCAAAACATGCCCTTGTACCCTGCTAGTCCGTCTAGCTCCACAAACCCTAACATATATTAAGATCTAACTAAGTACACCGATAGACCGGCCATATAGGTAAAATGACACTAGCATATACTCATTCTATCTCAAAATAGTTGACACTTTAGCTATGAATCTCGACAAATAATTAGCTGAAGTGTTAACTAGTTTAGGACAAAGAGAGTAGTCAACAACAAGATAAATTATTAGCCATAGTCTACTTTATATCTGGGCCTTGTTTAGTTGCTCCTAACTCCCAATTTTGGCACTATGCAAAAAGAAGATTACCCGTCACATCAAACTTGTGGTACATACATGAAGTACTAAATGTAGACGAAATCAAAAACTAATTGCACAGTTAGGTTGTACTTTGCGAGACGAACGTTTTGAGCCTAATTAGTCAACGATTGGACAATTATTACCAAATACAAACGAAATGCTACATTACGCTACAGTAACGCACAATGAATCCGGCGGCGCCGAATTCGGCCAACTAAACAAGGCTCTGATGATAGGGTAGAACATGATCGACGTGATGCCACCAGAAAAGACAGATGGAGGGAGCTAATACTACTTGCACCGATTAATTACTAGTACAAGTACTTTCTTAGGTGCACAACACAACGGCCGCCCGATGCTTGATGGTTTTTTGTTTTGGAAGCCAGTACGACCGACGAGGTGGTGCAGTGCAGGCTGAAGAGATATATATGGGCATTGTGCAATGTGCACTCCTCCTGGAATGGACTGCTGGAGGGCGTCAACGTCGTCTCATGTTATTGAGAACATCTAGGCTCCTAATTGGGTTTCGGTGATTAATGACAATATAAGATTACTATGACTAATGTGTGTTTTGCAGAAGCAATTAAGTTAGGTCACGATAATGGAGATCGATTAGGCAATCAAGGTTGTCATACCCCTACGATGGAAATCGTTTCGGTTTTCAAAGGATGGACGACAAAGTTAAGGATGACTAATTCTAAGTGCCGTTTAGAGTTGAAGAGACACTTAGAGTAGTTTAGGACTTTGTTTTTCCTTTGACCGTACTATTAAGGGGGTATGGACGGGTAGCTTGACCTAGGTGAGTCTAGTGAGTTAGGTGTGGTGCACACTTGTTAAAACTAGCACTAGGTAGCTCCTAAATATGACTAAGATCCTTTGGAGCAAACTTCATTCATATATGATTGAGAGTTGGAAGTGAATGGAGGGTCAAAGACCCACTGACGACGAAAGCTTGATGCGACCGACGGACGGCCGGGCAGGGGTCCGGTCAGTTCATTTGACTGAGGTGAACTAGTCCGGTTTGACCGGACGCTGGAGAGGTCAAGTGACCGGACGCTGAGGGCCAGCGTCCGGTCGACTCCAGTAAGGTTCCAGAGAAGAGAATCTGCGACCGGACGTGTCCGGTCAGTGCTGATCGGACCCTGGGGGTTCAGCGTCCGGTCGACTCCAGTAAGGTTCCAGTTAGGGTTATTTGCGACCGGACGCGTCCGGTCAGTGGTGACCGGACCCTGCCTGCGTCCGGTCAACACTTAAACTGCTAGTGTCTTGGGTTGAACTGACCGGAGCGTCCGGTTACCCCGCAGAGGCACATAACGGTTCGTTTTTCAGCCCATATTATAAATAGAAGTTCCACTCGTGTGTGGAGTCACTTTTGCTCATTTCAACAGCTGAAACACGCCTTAGAGAGTGCCAAGAAGAGTAAGGTCCTAGTGAGGTGATTGGGATTTGAGAATCCAAAGAGAGCCCTCATTAGTGAAGATCAAGAGTAGCAAAGTGTGCATCCACCCTTCTCCCTAGGCTTGTTGTGGTCAAGTGAGAGTTCGTGCTTGTTACTCTTGGTGATCGTCATCACCTAGACGACTTGGTGGTGACTGGGAGCTTGGTGATCATCCGGAGAGCTTGTGGATGACCCAACTCAAGTTATGGCGGTTGTGGGTGATTCTCCGTGACGGAGTGTCAAAGAATCAACCCGTAGAGAGCACTTGATCCTTGCGCGGATCAAGGAGGAGCTACACCCTTGCGTGGGTGCTCCAACGAGGACTAGTGGGGAGTGACGACTCTCCGATAACTCGACAAAACATCGCCGCGTTTCCTATCCTCTCTTTACTTTGACCATTTCAATTCTTGTCATTTACATTCCTAGAATTGTATACATTTTTCTTCAAAGCGTAACCTCGTGTTTTCTATCAGTGTTCTTTCTAGTTCCACCTGATCTTTTGCAGCTGAGTTGTCTTGATGTTACGCCAAAACGCAACCTTTGTCCTTTCGTGGATGCTAGCCAAGAAGGTGAAAAGGCTGATGAAGTGGAAAAGGCAAAGTCTTGTCAACTTGAATTTGGGAGTTATTGTCTCGGTCCATTGAGCACAAAGAAATAATGAAAGATCATATAGTGAAAAGGCTAAAAGATCAACTCTTCGTAGCACGCTCATACTATCCAAGCATTGCAAAACTTCAAGGACAGAAGCTCGACTCGTGAAATGAAGCAAAACATACAAGACCATGAAAGGATTCTTAGTGTATCAACAGTTGATGCCGATCTACCATCCTGTAAGAATTAAATTTTACTTCTTAAGATCATAGTTCCGTGTGATGATTAGTGTTAAAGCTGATTGTGCGATGACTATGTTACTATAAGAACAAATTTTATTACATTGAATTCGGGTGTCCTATAAGTTAAGATGATCTATTTTTTTTCTCGAATGCCCGTTAGGGAATATATTTATGTCTTAAAGAGACAAGGAGATTTAATTCAATCTAGGGCGTTATTTCCAATCATCGGTGAGGGCTTAATACTTAGATAATTTGAATGACAAGCTGTTTTGTGATTTCAATATCAACGAAAGGATGAAGCGGATGGAGCGAACATTAGTGAGAGCCAAATCTTACATGATGAGATTGTAAGAATGTTGACAGAAGCTTTCGCCAGATACTTGATATGGCCGAGGATGAAGCTCATTTTCATATGAAGCAGAGTGCATTCCTCTACAATCTCGGTGCCCGGACATTGCGAAAAGTCATCATTGCCTATCTATGAGGTTGACACTAGAATATTTCAAATCATCTTCATTGGATTCTCGATGATTCTCCGGCAAGTTCGATGAGTCCGAATACGGGCACTATGTTATACTATCTAGGAACGTTATTGCGGCTTCACAGAGTGATCAACTCAACTGTGACCCGGTTGTAAGGTATTTGGTGATATTTACAATGTTAAATCTATACACTATCTTCTCGAAATTTGTGCATCCCCAAAGATACTTTGGTCTTTTTTTGGGAGCCAGAGCTACCTTGCTTTTCATATCCTAACGATGCTCGAACTTCTATGCCATGAAACACTTTGGTTTGCCAGAATTCATATAAAATGCAGCTATCCATGTCCTAAACTACGAGGCCATTATTTTGGAGAGACTTCCAAAGTATACTATCTGGCAATATGTTTGCGGAGGAGTTCCGTGTTCTCATTAGGAGCATTAAGCGACCCTCTGAAAACACAAGAATGAAATACTGTCACTTTTCACCACTCACATTTCATTATTCCGAAATATTCAAGTATCTAAACAAGGTGGTTGTGTTGGATGACGATGTAGTTGTTCAACGTGATCTGTCTTTCTTGTGGAATATTGATATGGGAGACAAGGTAAATGGCGCTGTCGAATTTTGTGGTCTCAAACTGGGTGAAATGAAAAATGTCTTGGGTAAAACAACATATGATCCCAAGTCGTGTGCATGGATGTCGGGGGTGAATTTGATTAATTTGGATAAATGGAGGGAGCATAATGTTACCGAGAACTATCTCATTGCTCATGAAAAAGGTTAGTATTGTTCCGAGCCAAGTAAATTCATGCTATAGAATGTTATAAAAGGGGATGCTTGCATTAGGTGGTATGCCTTTCTATTTTGGCATGTTTTACAGTGCTTGAAAGAAATTTTCGAGTGCCATCAAATAGTTTGCTTTCTTTCATTTTTCGTTGAATTTTCTCCAATAGAACTTTGAAAACGATAGTATGTTTTAGTGTATTTCAGATGTTTCTTCATATTGTCAGCTAGTTATTTATCTCATTATTCTTGTTTTGTTACAGTTCAAAGTCAAGGATGAGTCATTCCTATGACGAGCAACATTTCCTCTAAGCTTGCTATCCTTGCAACATCTAATATATCCCCTAGATGAAAAATTGACCCTTGCTTTGGACTTGGATATGATTATGGAATTGATGAAGAGGTTGCGCGAGAGATCGCATCATTGCACTACAATGGCAACATGAAACCTTGGCTTGAATTAGGTATACCGGACTACAAGAAGTACTTGGAAGAGGTTTCTTGTCCGAGGAGATCGATTTATGGACGAGTGCAACGTAAATCCGTGATGCG